TTAAATAATATATCTTATTATTTGAATTATCTTATTATATATCAGAACTGTCATGGATAAAAGCATGCATATTTAATGGAAACCAGCATCATACAGTAGTTTTATGACTAGCTTAATTATTTTTTGAGTGTGTGTATTAAACACAAAATTTTGTATAACAGAACTAAGATAAGGCTTGTGTAAATGTTAAGATTTGGAATTCAGAGCTCAGAAAATACTTTGAAGCTTATAATTTTGACAGTTCCTGTAGGTGGGAATGGCGTTCCCTTGATTTATTATTATAATGCTAGGTGAACTTTATAATAATGATGAAATTAAGTCAGTTCATGTAAAAGGTTACTAAATCCTTTCCATGCTCTGGAGCGGAGAATTTGGACAAGAGGTGGTGGAAGGAATGCAACAGTATGTTGTAAAGAGAGATGAGAAATATGAAAAAGTTATTAAGGAAAATGAAACTGGTTTTAAGCACTTTTTTAGTTCGTAGAAGCTGAAATACGAACAGCTGTGCTTTTCTGATTTGAGTGTATATATATTGGATTACTAATTTTTCTTTTTATAATGTAGAAAGAAACCTTTGAAATAATGTTAATACACATTGTTACTAAATTCTCTGATGAGTATTCAGTTAAGTTTCAACTGTTTTAATAAAATATGTTCACAATACATTTTATATATTCAGGGTAGACGTTTTTAAGGTATTTTTTAACTTAAATTTATTAATAACATGTTTCCGTAACACAAAAATCTAAAGGTGACAGCATATTATGTTGGAAAGGTGTTTTAGGAACATTAAAGTTGTGACCAGTTTCAGATTAATACACAGCAAATAAAGACACTACAGCTTCATCAAATAAGCTCTTGGAATTTTAAATTGTTAGAGAGTCTGTAGTATCAGGTAAAATGAAATGGACCAAAACATCATATAATCTCCCTCTGTCAGTTAAGGCAGGACGCCTTTACATAGAAAGCAGTGCTGAAACAAAAAAAGGGGGGGGGGGAGTATAATTTTGAACAGTGGAGGAATAATAAATACTGCCTTTGCTTAGGCAGGTGATTTTAGACTTGTTTCAAGCTGATTTCCAAATCTGTTAGGGTATATTGGAATAGTTTCTCTTTCAATTAACACAGTATTAAAGAACATGACAGCATCAGTAAAGATCAAAAATCCCAAATGGATAATGTTTTTAATAAATATCTTGTACTGCATGCTGTGCAAATACTGATCATGGAAATCCAAAATCTCCAGGCTTTTCACTGGAAAATATCTCTAAGCATAGGAACAGTTGTTTATGAACATACTTTTGCAACGATACTTAATTGAAACATACAGTATATTGATGTAAAAAGTAAGTTATCAATAGAACATACGGACAGTTCGCCCTCTCCTGGTCTTTCAGATACATGATTCTAGGAACAGCTGAATAAGGCTGAAAGCACTGCAAATATTACAATATACTCTGTAGTGTAAAATGTAGATTTTGGAGAGAAGATGGTTAAATACATTGCAGCTTGATTTTTTAAGAACATGAATTCAACTGCTTACAATTCTGTCAGATCTCCTTCAGTACCTTCAAACTGGACTGGTCTTCTTCAGACTAAACCTAACACAAGTGTAAGAATGCATTAAGGTCTGAAAATTTTGTGAAAATTGGTGGCAAAGTGGAGGAGAGATGTTCAAATGTCATGTCTTCATTGAAGGAAAGATATGGCAAGTTCAGCTCTTATCCAAGCTGTCTGAGCTTTGTGTCAGTTGCAAGTGGTACTGCCTGGCCAGGAGCATGCTGGTAGTTCCAAATCAGTTGGAATAAGTAGTGATTCCAGCAAGCTTAGGTGGTGTGGGGAGGTACTCAAGTATCAAGTGTAGAAAGGCTACAAGGAAAGGTGATGGTGCTTTCATGGTGGGAGGATAGTGAAATTATGACAAAGATGAGAAAATATGAAAGGTCTAGACAATGATGTATTGCAGGAACTGGCATCAGGGTAGAAGCAAATGGTATTGTGAAAAGTAAATTGTAAGGGACTCGTACAGAACTGGCATAGGACACCGAGTAATAACCTTAACTGAAAGTCTGAATCCTCATTGTGCTAATACTGGTTCAAGATTTTATTATGACAAAGAGGGGAGTGTGTTGCTTTTTATCTGAGGGCCAAAGTATTTTTCCTATTTCAGTAGTAGTTTTCTTGTGGCAACCAGCCCGAGTGATTGACAGAGTAGTAAATCCTGCTTGCCTCTATACAGATTCATGTGATGAATTTCTCACCTATTTCATGGAAAGAATTGATTGGATTTGGCCTGAATTGGTTGCTTTCATAAATTGGGAGTTTGCCTGATTTAAATGAATATAATGCCTTTGGAATATTGATCAGTTTTATTAATTGAAGTAATCAATTGAAGTCACAGCTTATAATGTCAGTATATTTTAAATGAATCTGACAATCAAATATTTTCTCTATAAGCATAAGGGAAATTCCTAATAAATAATTCAGTCTAAAGTGTGATACGTGCTTTACTGTTGAGACTGCCTCCATATGTGCACTTCTTTCTAGTCAGCTTGGACTTGAATACAGTTTCAGCTTTAGGAGGATGAAAAAATGAACTCTCCCTTGAAAAAGATCAAAAGTGTTGTGACAAAGGTTATGTTACACAGTTTACAGTTGTCTTTTTTGCTGGTATTTTTATTTACCCAAAGATGCGTTGGCCTTTGCTAATAGGGGAGTGATAGCTTATTTTGAAAGAATAGTCCTTCTGTCATTTAAATAATTTTTTGGTTCATGTAGCTTTCCTGAGGTACACTTGAGGACACTTCAAGTGTGCAAAATGTCCCCCTTCACTTTAGGCACAGGAGCAATATTTTGTAAATAACCACAGATCCAGGGAAAGAAAAAAGTAACACTGTATTATCTTACAGGTCAGCTTCTTACATATTGATTAAAATATTTAAGCATTGTGTTGTAATTAGTACATGCAGGATATGTGTTAATTATTTTCTTCCCCTTTTTAAAGTACATTTGAAGCGCCACTTCGTGTTCCGAAACCATCTCTGCTTAGTCTTTGAAATGCTGTCCTACAATCTGTATGATCTGTTGCGGAACACCAACTTCAGAGGTGTCTCACTGAACCTGACACGAAAATTTGCACAGCAAATGTGCACTGCACTGCTTTTTCTGGCGACTCCTGAACTTAGTATCATTCACTGTGACCTAAAACCTGAGAATATACTGCTCTGTAACCCCAAACGAAGCGCTATCAAGATTGTTGATTTTGGCAGTTCGTGTCAACTTGGACAGAGGGTGAGTATTAGTAAAAATTCTATTTATGCTACCGTTGGATACATAATAAAAAAAATCATAATATGTAGATGGGTAATTTGAACTAAATAATTAATAATTATTTAGATGAAACATAGCTAATTTTTATATAGGGTTTTAGACATCAGCAGTCCACAGGAGCCTTAAATATGAATTTTAGTACCATAGTAGTTAAACTTTCCATCTTTCTTTTCTTCTTGGTTATATTTTTACGCTATGTTAATGCAGAATGCATCAGCACTTGATCATAGAAGTCTGCAGTGCTATTAAATAAAAGACGACTTTTTTTTTCTTCACATGTATTACTCCTCCCACTTCAGCATTTAGTGTGCCTTGGAGATAAGATATTTGAGGATTGAGACACTGCAGTAGCTGACTTTTAAAGATAACTGGTTACTAACCCATTTTTATAAACACTTCAGCAACTGTGGAAAGACTAAATTGAGTTTAGTGGTGGTATGAGTAAAGATGTGTATGTGCAAAGCGTTTCCAGGACAAAGGGCCAAATTACTTTCTGTCAGCAGTTCTTCAGATTAGGATAGATCTGTATTATTAAATAGTTGACCAAAAATTTGTAATTGTGTCCTGTTGTTCATGTGCTTTGAAGATGACTACATGTTTTTTATTTGAGCTATTAGAATCTCCCCAGCATAGCCAATTACCTCTTTGCTTGAAGAAATGTTGAAATATATACAATACTATCAAGATATTAAGATAATAAATAATTTAAGATCGTAAATAATTCTGCTTGGATGCCAAAGCCTCTTTTCTTTAGGAAGAACTTTGCATCATATAACTCAAGTATTTGATTAGTACTGACAATTTGCTCACTGAAGAGTTTATCAGGATGTCCTGTTCAGCTTTCACCTTATAGTCCTAGTACAAACACTGTTTCCTGGTCGAAAGAATTCTGTTCAGCTGAGCAAGTGACCACTTCTGTTCAGGGTACCTTTGCTTTAGTTGTTTGAAAACAAGCTGTTAGCTGGAGAGGTAAGGAAGTCTTCTATCTTATATAAAAGTTAGACTTCAGTTTCTTTGGGGAGAAAAAAGAGGGATTTTGAGCCTTCCCAGGTCCTGTTGTGTACCTTTGGCAGTTTTATCTATGAAGTTGTGAATGGTATCTCTTTCCTTTGAGAAAGCTGGATGTTAAAGAAACCAGACAAAAAAGCTCCCCAAAATATGCAACATTTTCAAAAGGTACGAAGTTTCAGATGTAGGACTAGTAATACTGCAGATGGGATCATTATATGTGAAGAATTAAGAAGTTTCATGGACCAGCTTTAACAGAATTTCCCCAATTCTCTCTTGAGGAGTTAAGACTGGCCAGTGGCACCCTGTCACTTTTTCCCTATGTGTTTGGGAAGAACAGATTGGAATATTGATTATTGTATTGAAAGCAGTGGTGAGACGTATTTAGATTAATAAGGGGACTTTTTGCTCTAAACTAGAAACTTTTCAGCCTGAGGTGAAGGGAGACACCAGGAGGTGAAATGAGATCTGGATTGTTTAGGTCAATAATGAGATAATTTTGAGATGTTAAAAAGCAGAAATACACACCCCTAGTGGTAATTATTCATTAATTTAGAAAGCAGTAGGGAAATACGAGTACCTTTGTGGAAAGTGCTGGGTAAAATTGCATGTTACTTAGGATATAAAGTACAGTTCTGTATTGGGCGTATTTTGTTTAGTTCTTTTTTGTTAAGGGTTTTGCAGTTGTGGGGTGGGGTTGTTTGTTGTTTCCCCCCTTCCCTCCCCCTTGTTTTCATGTTTGGCTGGTTGGTTTTGGTGGTTTTTTGGTGTGGTTTTTTTGTATCCCTACATTTAAGCCAGTCTCCAGGTTTAGAAGCAAGATAGAATTATCTGTCTCGTGAAATGAGCAGGATAACTAAGCAGGGGTGGAAGAGGGTTGCTTTTTCCCAGGTGTTGTTTTCTAGTTCCTAGAATCACCTGATAATTTCATCTCATTTCATCACATCAGAATCCTGGCTTTTGATCTTCTACTGTTTTATCTGAAATGTTACATGATTCTGATGTGGCTTGTGGAATAGTTTTTCTTAGGGTAGTAGCAGACAAAAAATTTTGTACGATCATGTGTAATTGTATGAGGTTACACTTATCAACCCTAAAATGTTAAATACTGACATCACGAGTGAATCTGCACTTTTTTTTTTCTTGAGGGGGTTGGACACACTGTAAACTATTATCTTAAGAATTAACTAATTAACATTTTTCATATTTTTATTAGTGTAATGTATAGATGCTTTTTAGTATCACTGATACCTTGGTTCTCCCTACACCAAAAATGTATTTCACGGTAGTTCTATTTTGTAATACATGATCGTAATAGTGCTCTTTGGATGCTGTTTATTACCTTTACATGCTTTTATTTCAGATATACCAATATATCCAGAGTCGTTTTTATCGATCACCAGAGGTGCTACTGGGAATGCCTTACGATCTTGCAATTGATATGTGGTCCCTTGGGTGTATTTTAGTTGAGATGCACACTGGAGAGCCTCTTTTTAGTGGGGCAAATGAGGTATGCAGATATGTTACAGTACAAGTAATTAGATTTTGTTGTTGTTTTTGTTCATTCTCGTCATGGGTTTCATCTGTTTAATTGTAATGCATAAATTAGGGAAGTCTAGTAATTCTAAAATGAATAATAAAATTAATAAGCATCAGCGACAGCAGTGTCTTTCGTCAGAATTCTAAATTGCCTGTTAATAATTTTCTGTTTCTGCATCCTCCCTCTTACTCCTTATACACTAATTTGCTTTGTACATAGTGGATTTTTCTTAAACTCACAATTAATTTAGAACTTGTCTGGGGTTTTTTTTCATTTGCTTTGGTGTGACGAGAATCTCACTCTGTCACGCTGCTCAGCACTGTCACATGTTCCTCACAAAATTTCTTTATTTGGAACAGGTGGATCAAATGAATAAGATAGTGGAAGTTCTGGGGATACCACCTACTCACATCCTTGACCAAGCACCAAAAGCAAGAAAGTTCTTTGAGAAGTTGCCAGATAGCACTTGGAACTTGAAGAAGACCAAAGATGGAAAAAGGGTAGGTTACATAACTAGGATGATAATATGGACAGTTTCTTTAAATAAAGTCAATAATAATTTATTAAAGAAAAGGTGAGATGTTACTTTGTTTCATATCTTGCCTTACTGAAAATGCAGCTTTATTGTTGTTTATTATTGTTCCACATTGTAAGACAGATTAATGAAATAACACATTCCATAGTGTTAAATAGTTTCTTACTTTTATTTGACATCCTTTTATGGTATGTTTAAACTGCCATATGGCAAGTTTAAACATCCGAGGCTGAATATATAAATGAATTTCAAGCAATTTCTAACTTCCCAACAGGAATACAAACCACCCGGAACTCGTAAACTTCACAATATACTAGGAGTTGAAACAGGAGGACCAGGTGGACGCCGTGCTGGGGAATCGGGTCATACTGTAGCTGACTACTTGAAGTTCAAAGACCTCATCTTAAGGATGCTTGATTATGACCCTAAGACACGAATTCAACCTTATTATGCCCTTCAGCATAGTTTCTTTAAGAAAACAGCAGACGAAGGTACAAACACAAGTAACAGTGTGTCTACGAGTCCTGCCATGGAGCAGTCACAGTCTTCAGGAACCACCTCTAGTACATCTTCAAGCTCAGGTAAATTTTTCTCATTAAGAGATAACAAAATTATATTTCCTAATCACATCAAAGGAGTCTTTCAAAGATAAATATTCTCTCTCTCTTTTGGATAAAAACCAAATACGTCAGTCATGCTCCTCAAACAATTATTTTAATTGGCTGGAACAGGTAACTGCGCCAACAAAAAGTAAAAAAATAGATGAGCCAAAATGTGAATGGTTATCATAGGTCTTGTATTTTTACCTAGAAGCAGTTTACATAACCTTCATGCTGTCACTGTTTTCCAGCTTACTTTAAGTTTTGTGTCTCTTTGGTTATTGTGCATGTTATGATTTTATAGGTGGATCTTCTGGAACAAGCAACAGTGGAAGGGCACGGTCAGACCCCACACACCAGCATCGACATAGTGGTGGACACTTCACTGCTGCTGTTCAAGCTATGGACTGTGAAACACACAGCCCACAGGTATGCTTAAGTAGAGCTTTTGTCTGTTTGGTTTATATGAGTTTTCTGAGAATATTAAATCCCTATAAATTAAGTAATGCTTTCATTTCAAGATTGAAGTCATTCAGACACAGAACTAGCTCTTGTTTTGGTTGTTTGTATGTTAGGTCCGTCACTTAGGCAAAATTACTACTGGTAGCTGTAAAAATTTCCAGAGATCCTGTAGTGGTGAAGGTTTTGTATTAGTAACAGTAAGTCAGATGGAGCTGTCAGTGCTTCACCTTACACAGTGCGTAAGGGTATGCAGAACTACACGTCTTCCAACCCAGTGGAGAACAAGCTTGTGCTTCTGTGGACTCCTGCTGGAGTTCTTAATTTTGTTTTATGGTGTTCAGGTACTTCACCAACATTATCGTTGATGGATTAGAGTTTATTCAGTACTTGCTGGAAAGAAGCAGCAACTCATTAACTACAAATAATTCAGTAATATTTTTATTTTAGTACAGAATGGATAAAAACATAAACTGTCCCTAAGTCATAAGTTTAGTTTATGCAACAAATTTGTGTGTAGCTAGATATTTTAGTAATCTTTAATCACCTGTGTACTTCCTGAGGTGTGGGTAGTACTCCTGTAATGCTGTTGACACCATTCAAGATATGGACTACAAATACTAATTTAGCTTAGTATGCTTATCGTATCCAGAGACCTGAGTCAGAGATAACGGTCTTATTGTTCTGAGTGTTGTACAAATACTATGCTATTTGTTAGTACTATTATGTAAAGCTGCTTCTGTGACTTTCACCGTAAGGTCACATATTACACTTAAACCATTTGAAAAAAACATCCAGAAAGTGAACTAATTTTTCTTAAGGTATATTTAGAAAAGGGTGTTAGAGATGCTTTGTAACGACGTATTTCCACTTCTAGAATAATTCTGCAACTCCAAGGTTTTTTAACTTTTTTAAAAGTTAGCATAAACATCAGTAACTTAATATCTCTCATATATTGCAAATGGACAGATTTGAGTAAGCATTTTAATTTTTATTTTGCTTATTAACATAGGTTCGACAACAGTTTCCTCCTCCAATTGGTTGGACAGCCACTGAAGCTCCTACACAGGTCACTGTTGAAAACCATCCAGTTCAAGAAACCACCTTCCATGTAACCCCTCAACAACAGAATGCATTACATCATCATCACGGAAATAGCTCTCACCACCACCACCATCACCACCACCACCACCACCATCATGGACAGCAAGCCTTGGGTAGCCGGACCAGGCCGAGAGTCTACAATTCTCCAACAAACAGCTCCTCCACCCAGGATTCTATGGAGGTGGGCCACAGTCACCACTCCATGACATCCCTGTCTTCCTCAACTACTTCTTCCTCTACATCCTCCTCCTCTACTGGTAACCAAGGCAATCAGGCCTATCAGAACCGCCCAGTGGCTGCTAATACCTTGGACTTTGGACAAAATGGAGCTATGGACATGAATTTAACAGTCTACTCTAATCCGCGCCAAGAAACTGGCATAGCTGGACATCCAACATACCAGTTTTCTGCTAATACAGGTCCTGCTCATTACATGACTGAAGGACACCTTGCAATGAGGCAAGGAATTGATAGAGAAGAGTCTCCCATGACAGGAGTTTGTGTTCAGCAAAGTCCTGTGGCTAGCTCGTGACTAAACTGAAACTAAGTTTGTTTCTTGTGTGTTTTTATAGAAGTGGTGTTTTTCCAAAAACAAAGTGCAAAGCTGCTTGAATCAGAAGGAGATAAACTCACGGAACCGCTACAGGAGGGCAAAGCTGACTATTTTTTTAAACTTGAAAAGATTGCAAAGGGACAATGAAGTTTTTTTTTTGTTGGGTTTTTTTTGTTTGGTTTTTTTCTTTGTTTGTTTTTGGTTTTTGGGTTTTTTTTTTTTTGGTTGGTTTTCTTTTTTAAGAGCCATGTCTGGACCCACATTAATGGATAGCTTAGTGGTGTTCACTTTTTGCTTCCCCCATTTTAACTTGCCACAACATAGTCATAGTTTGTTTTTTTGGGGAGGGTGGTTTTTTTTGGTCTCATTCAACAGGGGTTATTGTTCAAATGTTAGTTGTAGTTCCAAACTAGTTTCTTTTTAAAGGCATTGCACATGATTTATAAAAAGGCCCTTTGAAATTTTTGGGTGGGAGGGGAGTGAGTAATATATATATATTTTTTTTAGTTCCCCAAACAAACATGGGCACAGAAATGCAGTACTGTAAGAAAGAGGGACCTTCAGATTACACAAATATATATTCTTCAGCTGTAAAAAGGGACGGTTGTAATGGAGTTTGTAAGGCACATTGAGCATGCTAAGTGGCGGTGATCAGAACTCTCCTTTTCTGAATCTACTGAGGATCAAAGCAGCAATTGTAATGGGATTCTGTGGGTCTCATATTTTGGGAGACCACAGTCAGTTAGTATTGAAATATGACTGGTTTCATAACTGAGGTGCACTGAGAAGCAATCAACGGGTCGGTCCTGGCCAGTCCTGGGGAGGTCTAAGTGGTGGTCTTTGGGATAACCTTTGGCCTTATGGATTTGGACTCTTAAGTTAGAAGAGCCTACCATTTCAGATGCAATCACTTTTGGACATGCTTTTGCAGACAGTCCTTAATGCTGAAAACACAGAGAATGGGTAATTCAAGAGGCCTTTCTTTTAAAATAGACTTTTGTGACCCACTTATTGTAAGGTATTGCAAGGTCACTTTGCGTGTGTCATAAAGTTGACTTCCTTATTGGTTGAAGGTCACAGGAGTAGTGGTTTGCGTTTGATGGAAATAGCTACAACTGTGTCCCTTCCTGCTTTTTACTTTTTTCTTTTGCTTTTTCTCGGCACGTGGTTTCTCCACCATTACTTCTGCACAAAGACGTCTTCTGTTCATCCTGAACATTTTTAAAAATGCAGAATTTTATGTGACTGCTTTTTTGCCTCACAATTATGCTGTGAATTTTACAAAAATTTATTTTCTTTTTTGATAATTTATTGTACCAAAGCTGTTTTTATAGCACATAGATGTCTGTAACCAATAATGTAGCAGTTCTGCACTTTGACACAAGGTGTAACTAGACCATTTTTAAATGTCAGTTGAAAATTATGGCTGTACTATTGCTTAAACAAAACTGGAACTGTTGTTGAATTCATAGCCAATACATTTACAGCAATCTGTGTACTGAACATAATAGATTGACATCTACTTCGAGACTATAACATCTGTTACATTATAAATGTGTTCAGGCTTCTGAAGGTAAAAGGGACACTAGATCCAGAAGCTATGAAACCAGCAGTTGATTCTTGTATTCCTTATTAACATAATTGTAAACTTGAAGGCAAGACCTTGATTGCATGAACAGGTCCAAAATAATAGTCTGAGTAAAGCAAAACACTCACATGAGACCTGAGGTTAGCAGGCTGTATTTAACAGGTGCCTAATTTTTGGGTAATGCTGCCTTAATATAACACAGTCAGCTTGGCAGTTGCAAAATTTATGGGCCCATTCAGAGATTTGTTTGGATGAAAAGTTAAAAGCTCCGTGGAAAACATTTGAAAGAAGAAGGGTAATTCATTGATTGCCCATCCCAGAGTAACATTCTTTGCCCATTATATATTACAGAAGCAGTGATCTACCTCTGCCAGTAAGCCCTTCTAAAAGTTAATTTAGCAGAAAATTCAGAGTTCAGACTGGTCGGTTCCATGTGGCGAAGTCATTCTTTCTGACTAAAAGGTGGAATTTTTTATACTTACAGTGGCAACGCAGCAGCTGACTACCATGTGAATGGGAATGAATACTTGGGATTAACCATGTTTTTCCTTGTAAATCATGATTTTTTTTAATCAAGCAATCCTTTTTTCTTTTGTTTTTTTTTTTTTTTTTTTAATTGACATGTCAACCCTGTGGATGATTTTTTTTTTTCCTGTTTTCTTTTTGGTTTTATTTTTTAACTCGGTAATTCAGAGAAGTTTACAGGATTTGGAAGGCTGTCACCGTAGAAACAGGATGCTGAGTTTAGCAATATAAAAGGAATCCAGTACTTACTGCTGTCTAGGAATATAAGGGTAATACGAAATCTGGGTAATTTTTGTGTGCGCGGGTTGCCACACCATAGCAAGCGCCAAAAAATAAAGCAGTTAAAAAGAAAATCTGCATAAAGAAGAAATCATAAAATCCAGTGCTTCTGCATACTGTGTTATGTTACAGTCCAGTTTTGTGTGCTTTACTACACAGTTTGGTTACAGGACTTCTGTGCATTGTAAACATAAACAGCATGGAAAAGGTTAAATACCTGTGTTCAGATTGTAAGATCTAGTCCGGACTTGCTGTGTATATTGTAACGTTAAATGAGAAGACAAGCCCTTTGTATTATAGTCATGCAGTCTTATGTATGATAAACAGTTGAATAATTTGTCCTCAGACTCTTTACTGTGCTTTTTAAAAAAAAAGTAATTTAAGAAAAAATGTAAACATAGTAAATCTTCCTATGCAATTAACCTACTCCAAGCCATGGTATGGTAGGTATAATTATACTATAATATGTAAATATCAGATACATTGAAACAGACTTAAAAATATGAAAGTAAAAGTTGGAGGCATAACAGATAATTTTGAGTTTTTAATTGAAACAGCAAGGTATACAAATCATTGATGTATGAACACAGCTCTGCTTGATTCTGATGGACTGTACTTGTAGTTTGAGTTCTTTATATTATCATCTGTTAGTTTGAATGTTTTTATATGCACTGCAGCTTTCTACCTATTACGGACTAGCTGATGTTAAGGCCAGAAGTGACCATGGTCATGAAGTAATCTGACTGGCATGCCATTACCCTTAGAATTCAATCTAGTTATTTCTGCATCATGAAGTCCATGTCTTTTGGGTGCAGTAGAACATACTTTTGAAAAAGATAGCTGATTTTCATATAGATTCTTCAGGTGTGAGGGTTTTTCCGTGTCTCTTGAGTGATTCAGCTAGATTTCCATACTCTTAGTCCTCCTTCAGTTTTAGGACTGTTTAGTTACAGCTGCTGGCCATCAGATAGCTAGCTGCCTATTAGAATAACAAATAACTACTCTAGTTTTAAACTATTTCACTTTATTCACATAAAAAAATATGTTAACTTTAATAACCTATATAGATGGAGTTCCTTAAATCTCTAACCGTAAAGCTTTTTCGGCTCTTCTGAAACTTCAGATGTTTTAAAATCCATTCTAAAAGCGTGGACAGAAGAACTGCATACAGCATCTGGTAGTGATTTGGGTATTGCTGTGTGCGTGTAGTATGTGCAGGTACATTCTTGAACCTTTCAGTTTATATCTTCGCTTGTTTGTTTATACCTCCAAGGAGTGCATTTTAAATCTTTCAGTCTCAGTTATTTGCATTAAAAGATTGTAAATTTAGATGATTATCCATCATGATTCCTAAGTCCTTTTCAGAACTGCTGCTTTTCCAGGATGTGGTCTTCCATCCTGTAAGTATAATGATGTCTGAATGGGACTGGTTTACAGAAGGGTTGGATTCACCTGTAGATGTGGCTTGTCTTCATTGTTTATCACTCTACCATCGTTACTTTCATTAAACCATCAATGTGCTTATATTTATATCATTATATCAGTCTTGATAACTGAAAACTCTTAAATACCTTGGAAGATAATTCCTGTTGAAACCCATCAGGAACATCATTTTTTAATGAGGAAGTAATCTAAAACTCTAACCCTCTGACACAGCGTGGTGAATATGTTGTGTTGATTTACAGAACAAAATACATATCAGTAAAGATCATTATGTGGAACTTCTGAATAGTATGTAAGTATCTCTCTAGTCAAGATTACGCAAGTAACTGACAACAAAGTAGAGTTATTACTGAGTGTTGATCTCATGAGGATAGTTTTTATATAGCATGACTTCGGCAAGTGATTTACTTTAAAGGATTGGATATTGGAATTGCGCAATATCTTACATCTGTCAAGGAGAAACGATACCATGCCAAATTGTAGTTTTCTATTAAATATCCCTGATTTTGTGGGGTTCTACAGAAATAACCTGTTAGTAAAAAGTTTGCAGTTGGTATTTATTTCTCCACCTCATTACAATAGTTGAACTATTTTTTACATAATGATCAAGATGTGTTGTTTTTATTGCGTCAGTTCTCCATACTGGCCCTATCAAATATATGCAGTCTGCCTAGGCCCAAGAGGATTTGTAGTTTCTGTTGTTCATTATATTTTATGCTAGATGTTACAGAGCGTCACAAGCTCAATCACAAGGTGGTCACAGTGACTGTCTCTGAGGACCTGAATGATACGAGAAGGTGATACACTTCATAAACCAGACAAAGGTGGTAGTTAAAATTTTAAACTTCAGGCTCCTCTGCTAAACAGGAGAGAGAATATTTAATTCACTTTAACTGATGTTCAGAGATTCTAGTGAGAAAGCAAAGATAGATGATTTAGAAGAGGATAAAGGTTTGAATTGATGTTCTGTGGGGGAGGGACTCTAACCAATGTGAATAATAGCATAGGAAGGGGAGAGAAATACCCTTGGCTTGAGTGGAATTGTGCAGTCCTTAATTGAAAGTGAGACCAAGAAATTTCTTTTATATGGTCCTAGGAAATCATGTGAGGGAAGGTAAATGAAATCTTTTAATGGCTATGTTGAATGAAGCTTAACAGTTCTGCTTTTACTGGAAAATAAGTTTTTCACAGAAGGTTGGATTCCAGTAATTAATGTGAGAGATGTCTGGAATGTAGCTGCATGTTCTATGTCAAGGTAAATTTGAATCCAGACTGTTTATCAAGTGGCAAGACTTAGATCAAATCTGGAAGTTCACAAGAGAACAGAAATGAAAGTTGGG